CATAGTCAATAGAGGAAGGTTGAGCTTCTAGCGCTTCATGGCGGATGTGGTTGTGATCAATATCAGCTGGCTGGTCTAGTTTCGCCAGATCGCTAAGCTAAGCCAGAACATTGGTGCACTTGAGAAAATGTAAAGAATACCAAATTTTCTATGCTATCAGGGTTGATTTGATGGGACATACTGATTTGATGGGACATAGATGATTCGTGTTGTTTCTAAATCTTTGACTTTAATGTTTTAAGAAATCGATATTCGAGAGGAGAATGCTAATCAGAATTAAGAAATAGACCAAAAGATTCAGAGTTCAATATCAATTCAGAAGAATAGAAATAACGGTGTGAAGTTCGCCACAGATCCTAAGGTCGATATTGCCCGATGCACTTTTTATCCGTCTCCTCCCCTTTGCCACTTCTTTCTGGCCCTTTCTGACTCACGCACTCGACAAATCCGAAGAAAGATGAATAAATGAAATTCAAAACTGAAAAAATTCTGGTGAATTATCATGAAAACTTCCAGATTGGGTTGTTTAAAAATTTTTAGGAGGCACAGAAACCAACAGAAATCGACGACACTGACTTTCACTGATACAATCATCTCCAAAAGCTTTTGACAAGTGAGCCGTGAGATTGAACTTTTGGAGAACGGGTGAAAAATGTTGTCCTTGAAAATGGAAAATGACCTGAAGAAAACCGACTCCGAAAGGTTTTTTACTACTGTAGCACTAATCGAACTATTTAGACTAACAAAAAGTCCTCAACTAATAGCAAACAATAGAACTGTTGCTAGGCATCCAGGTAAGTCGCGGACTTCATCCTTGCGCTTGAGATTAAAAGCTGCGAAAAAGAAATCTCGCTATTTTTGGATTCTCATTACATTCGACGTTGCATGATTTCTACAAAAAAAAATATAAAAGGTAAGGTTAAAAAACAAAAAAAAACAAAAATAAAGAAAAAAATTAATATCCATAAAAAAAATTTCAGAAAAAAGTATTTTTTAAGAAAAACTGCTCTTATCTGTCTATCTTGGCTCTTATCTATGTAATTTTCGGGTACATGTGATGTCTAGTCACCCTCCCTTTCCCGGCATTTTTGAGGCTTAGAAAGGAGGAAAGAGAGTAATTTCGGCGCAGCATCGCTTTAGAGATAACGGTAGAAATGAAGGGATGAAATCGGAAGATTATCTGGATGCCTAGCCTAGTGTTCTGTAGTTCACTATTCGTTGAACCCTTTTGGTTAGTCTAAAACATTTCGATTAGGGTAGTAAAGAACCCTTCCGAGTCCCGTTTTCTTAATGTGTGTTGTATCATTTTTCACCCGTTCTCCCAAGGTTCAATGTAGACTGGTGATCATAAGGATTGGTATCAGCGGAGGTGTCGATATGAATTCCATTTATAACTTGTTCATTATGTGTAGTGCAGTTCATTGCTTTAATTGAGCTGACCTTGAAGATTTGCTTAACTTTCAGTGAATACGATTGCCTTTATCCTTTTCTTTAGGCAATTTATAAGACAAGTCCTCACTCGAGGAGGGCTAAGAATTAAGAAATCGTTCGAGGGCCAAGAGAAATGGCAGACTGCGGTAGGTGCTCACTGCGAGCTCATTCCGAAGGCCAGTAAGGGCCAAGGATAAGCTCTAACCAGAGAAGCCTGAATGTATTAATGATGCTGAGAATTTGAGCTTTCAAATGATATATGATACATGCTAGTTCCTATAGAAAAGTAAAATTATTAAAAAAAGAATAGTTTTCCAAAAACTGATAGCAAGAATCTTTGGACCATCAAGGGTGAGAGACCGCTGGGTCTCTTACGGCGAAAACAATTGGCACGGTGGCAAAAAGACGCAAGCTAGACTTCTGTGCCACAAACTCTAATTATGATTTAGCTCTAATTATGCCCCTTGTTGTCTTGCTAAGAAGTTTCTTGTTCTTTTATGGTATTTGCTTCAAACAACAACTAATATCCATGAACTTCAGCGCAAAATAAAAAAGGAACAGAAGCAAGGTTCTTTGGATAAATGAATCCCCGACTACGTTCAGCCCCAACTGTCCAGCAGGAAAAGCGGCGTTAGCCGAAAAGATTCCTGCTTTACCGTTATGGATTGGCGTTATCGATCGTTATCGATAACAAATTGATTTTCGATCAGCACGACAACAACGATTATAATTTTACGTGAGACTTCAACCCTCAAACCTTAGCATAATTTCTGATCCTGGACTATCATCGTTAATTTAGCCTTTGCCCAAGCCCTTCGGGGATGCTGCTATCTGGCGTTACGGTTAGAGTGACGGTTAAGCTTACTTCGAATTTCGGGACCTCTGACATTTCAGATTAAAACATAGCTTAGACAGCCAAATGAGCTGAGGGTACTATAATAAACATAGCCAGCAATCAATAAAGCATCAGGTTTCAAAGTTGATTGGGTTTTTCGAACCGTCTTTGTTTGTCTTGTTGAAAAATTTCTTGATAAGCATTGATAAGATTTGATTGACTTCGGTTTCTGATGTTTTGCAACATCTTGTAGCGAAAATTTAAATGACTCTTTTCCGATTTAGATGTTTGACTCTGAAAGAATAAAAAAGAAATCCACAGCAGCTATTCGGTGCCTGAACAGGATTCCTGATCCTTTCTAATCCAGAGTACTGTAATAAGCGATAATTTTATTTATATCTACAGAAGCCTTAATCTTTGTTGATACATTTTTCTCCGGAAAACTGTAAAAAGTCAAGAGGTTAACCTTTCTTTTCAGGATGAATATATTGAAGTTGGTTTCTTCACTTCACAAGCCAGTAGCAGGTTGCCTGGAAGCAGCCAGCAACGGCAAGTGACAGTCTCCCAGCCACTTCATTCAGAGATGGATCACGGTAGTTTTCAAAAGTTGACACAGTTGGTCGATCATTACATCATTAGGTCGATCGCTCACGTCATGTTATCCATTTTCTGCTTGATCTCGAAGAAGTACTCTCATCTTGGCTAAAATTGATTTGAAATTGATTGAATAAAATTCCGAGTGCCCCCGAATGCCTCTAATTGCCCTCTATCAGTTTTTGGTCCTTTTTTTAACTTCCCAACATAGATTTTCGGCTTTTCTGTTTTTTTTGCTCCTGAATGCGCATGTTGCGCACGTGTCCATCCCCCCTCGCACGAGGGGGGCACTTAAAATTTGATCAAATGTAGTTTTTCTAGGGTAATTGATGGCACTGACCACGAAAAAATCATGATTTTGCTTTCAGTTCGGGCCCCTCAGTTCAATTCATGATTCAAACTATGTTAAACGTGAATCTTTAGACGAGATTATCTTGAGTTCTTCTATTCTAGTCAATTCTTTTCAGGATATTCATTTTCATCGAATTTCTCTTCTTTTTTTGATACTCAATCGGATGAGACCTTTATTGAAAACTTTCTTCGTATAAATTTTCAAAAAGCATTCAGTGGTTTAGCAATAAAGGTCCCGATAAAGGTCATTTGTTTAACTCATAACGCTTTTCTCACGAAAATTTTACGAATGAGATCAATGATGCCAATAAAAATAGCTCACAAAAGAACTATAAAAACTACAAGCAATCACGAAAGCGAATATATTTCTGGTTTAATAATCATTGTTTGGTGTTAACAAATTGTAACAGTAACAATAATCTGAAGGAACAAATTTATTCCTTATATTCCGAAAAACAGGGAAAGTGCAAATATGATGTTTCTGATTTAGATGCCGGAGACACAGCAACAACATTGCAAATGCCCGCCTGGGACACATGAGCTGAACTATAAACGCAACATCATAACCCCATAACCATGTTGTTTGTGTTTGTCATGTTAAAAGAGGCTATGGTCCCTTCTATGTTGCCCTTCTTATCTCCCACTCCCCCTTTCCCCGTTTCTTTTTGCCCCTTTCAGACTCAGCCACTCGAAGAATCTCGTCTCTTTTCCTTTTCTCCTGCCTGCTTGCCTTTTTCCCTTTTTCACCAGTCCCGACTTGGTGGGTGGTCTTCTTCATCCCTGATAATGAGGAGTTTTTTTTGAGGAAAGTGGGGACTTTAGATGAAAAGAAATAGAAAACCGCTTCTGCATAAGACGTAAATAATTAGAGGAGTGCTCGCTCAAACGGAGAAACAAATTAATGATCGTCATACTGGCGCTGAGGTGCTAGCAAAAGCGCCGCGTCTTTTGCGCCAAAATTCTTTGTGCCAATTTCTTTTGCGTCGAGTATCATTTGCGCCAAATTTGCGCTGATGAAAATCACTATGACAAATACTTTTCCCCAACTTCTAACTAACTTTTTTTCACTTTTCTGCTCCATAATTTTAATTCTCATTGTTCTCAATCAGAAAACATGTTTAAATGCCTATACAGGCCCCAAAAACAGTCATTTTAGTGCCTCCGATTAGGCTTTTTATTCTCTATACCAATCTTATGCCATTTTCAGATCTGGACAGGGCGGCAAAATAGCAGGCATCGTCAACGAGGAAAAACTGAAAAAGTATAAATGATCAATAAGAGTTGGTAGGAAAGTATGTTGAAAAGGGAAATTTGGCGCAAATGATATGTGGAGCAAATAATTTTTGGCGCTTTTGCTAGCACCTCGGATCTCTTGAGTAATTTGTTTTCTGAAACGTGTCATCGACTGAAAGCTACCGTAATCAAATTTATTACAATTTCGCTTGACTTCTAAAGAGTTCGATATTTTTAAATCCTTTATAATTGTAGTAAGTTTTATCAAAATACACAAATATTTTACAATTGCATTCTAGAAATGCGAAAATTGGTCAAAAATATCATCATTTAAAGCTAAACTTGTATGGAAAAAGCGTCTTTCTTAAAAATCTACATCTACAAGAAAATTTCAGTTATCAGCTCGAAGTCACCGCTTAAGCAAAATGTCAACGTTAAACACAAGATATTGCTAGTTAGATAAGTCACTGGAGATTCAAACAACGTAAATAGGCAACAAATTTAAAGAATATAAGCCCCATTTTGTGATCTGTAATCCAAATCCAATAACAAATCAATCCAATTGGATGCAAGGAATGTTCCCATTCATCCTTTGAGTTCTTAGTTGAGCTTCCAGCGTCAAGATCTGAAATTGAATGAATTAGGGATGTAGCATTCATAAAAATGTAATCGCTTTATGCTTGACGAGGTCAACATTTGGTCACACGTATTTTTTTCTGCCACAAACCCACCTTATTCTGTAGCGCCGTAAACTGTGCCTCTCTCTCTGCATCAGACTAAAATTGAATTGTGGGCTTTGTTAAATCGTAATATCTTTAATATCGTTAATATCTTTGTTTCAAACATTCACTCACCGCGATCTTTTCTTCCCTCAGCTGACTCGTTTCCTCACATTTCCCAGCCAGCATTCGCTCCATTTCGGCCATTTTTCGATTCCAAGTTTTGCTTTCTTCTGGTAAGAACCGAATTTCATCATTGGGCTTCTAAAGTTTACAAAAATTGACAGATTTGAATTTTTCATTGCTAGATTTACCTGAATGATGAGAGCGAGCTGCGAGTTTTGTACTTCTGATGTAGAGGTGATTGATGCGTTTGATAGTGACTCTAAAATCGAGGGATTCTCAGCAAAATACAGGGCGCACCGAAAGTTTTGCTACCGCTATGACTCATCTTATGCTGTTTTCTATTTTAAATTGCGATTATGGGCTTTTTTAGGCATGTTTTTGTATTACTTTTAATAAATTGAAAAGATTGACACTTGCAAAAGGTGTGGATGAAGGTCGACAATGAACGGAAAACGTTCAGCGAGCTGCATAAAAAGGAAGCGAATTTCTGAGATAATCACAGCTCACTGAATATAGCTGTATCTCCCGTACTAGATCCAAATCAGTTAGCCAGCTCAAAGTCGCTTTGAGTCGGGCTTGGAGTGAGATTTCGGTGACCGAAAATTCGACCGATTTCGGATGCTTCTCAGCAAATGTATTAAAGTAAATGAAGAATGTTTTGAGCATTTAATCTACTTTTTTTGATCTAGGTTGTTATAAATTCCGAATTAGTTTTCTTGTTACATTTTACGTAAATTTAGTTTGATTTTGCGTGTGGTAGCAGAACTTTGCGTTTGGAAAGAAGCTAGCAGAACTTTTGGCCTATCCTGTAGATCTTCAATATCAATAAACCAAAATCATTGTTTGAATAGCACAAAAATTGCCTTTGAATCAGTGTTTACCTGTTCCCTGATTCCAATCCTCATCTTTTATGACATCTTGACGCAATGATGATAGCTGGGGCTAAAATGGCTGACTACATCTATAACCCGAGCCTTCAAAAGAAGCTAAACCGATCAAACTTCACTGACCGTTGAAATCTCCACAGCTTCAACCGGGATCGCAGTACTTTCAATTGTCTCCATATCATTCATTCCATTAGATTCATCTCTCGGATCAAGAAGTGGTTCGAGATATTTCTGGAACCAGCCTTCTCTTTGTTCTTCTCGTTTTTCCTTTCGTTTGGTGTTTTTTGGTGTCTTCAAAATTTTTTTTTTCAGATATTTATGAATTTTTGCGGAATGTTGTGGATAGCATTTATTAATCAGCTGTCTCCACTCCTCAATCATTTCTGAGTTTCTAAAATGAATGATGATTAAAGTGACTGAAAAAGGAAACATGTCATCGATCGTTTCTCCGTCACACTTTATGCGATGGCCTTTGAAGGCGGAGGGTCGATCTCTCGTGTCGCCACATTCTAAAAGATAACGAGTGAATTTAAATAATATGCAAATTCTAGAAGCAAACTAACTAGAGCATCGAAATCGGCGATTCGACGCATGAATGATCAGGTGGTCAAAGAAATGTGTTGGCCCCCTAGTTTTCCGACAAGTGCCACAATACTGAAATTTTCTAACTTGATTGACTCAATGATATCAATGATATTTTATTTTCAAACAATACTGGAACTAACAAGACATTTATCCTTTTGAGCTTCATGGTTAATAGAGGAAGATCGAGCTTCTGGTGCTTTATGGCGGATGTGGTTGTGATCAACATCAGCTGGCTGTTGGAGTTTCTAAACTTTATGCTAAGCCAGAACATTGGTGCAATTGAGAAAATGTAAAGAATACCAAATTTTCCATGTTATCAGGGCTGATTTGATAGGATTGACTGCAGTTGTTCCGAGATCCGATAGATGATTCGTGTTCTTTCTAAATCTTTGACTTTAATGTTTTAAGAAATCTATATTCGAGAGGAGAAGGCTAATCAGAATTAAGAAATAGACCAAAAGATTGAGAGTTCAATATCAAGCCAGAGGAATAGAAATAACGGTGTGAAATTCGCTACAGATCCTAAGACAGTTTAAACAAGATTTTGGAGTACTTTGCCGCTAGCTTACCAAAATTGGTATACAAACGGTTGCACGGTTGCCAACGGTGATGAGGACAATTCTCAAATGTTTTGCCGATAAAATGACAAAAGAAGTTTTAGAGGCGGGGCTTGCTCTTCGATATTGCCCGAGGAACTTTTTATCCGTCTCCTCCCCTTTGCCACTTCTTTCTGGCCCTTTCTGACTCACGCACTCGACAAATCCGAAGAAAGATGAATAAATGAAATCCAAAACTGAAAAAATTCTGGTGAATTATCATGAAAACTTCCAGATCGGGTTGTTTAAAAATTTTTAGGAGGCACAGAAACCAACAGAAATCGACGACACTGACTTTCACTGATACAATCATCTCCAAAAGCTTTTGACAAGTGAACCGTGAGATTGAACTTTTGGAGAACGGGTGAAAAATGTTGTCCTTGAAAATGAAAAATGAAAAGAAGAAAACAGACTCCGAAAGGTTTTTTACTACTGTGGCACTAATCGAACTATTTAGACTAACAAAAAGTCCTCAACCAATAGCAAACAATAGAACCAGATCGGTTGCTAGCCATCCAGGTAAATCGCCCGACTTCATCCCTGCCCTTGAGATTAAAAGTTGCAAAAAAGAAATCTCTCTATTTTTTGATTCTCATTACATTCGACGTTGCATGATTTCTACAATAAAAAATATAAAACGTAAGGTTAAAAAACAAAAAAAAGAAAAATAAGGAGAAAAATTAATATCCATCACAAAATTTCAGAAAAAAGTATTTTTTAGCAAAAACTGCACTTATCGATCAATATGAACCGCTGTTATCAAAGGAATTTTAAGGTACATTCCATGCTTGGTCACCGTCCCTTTCCCGTCTTTTTGAGGCTTAGAAAGGACGGAAGAGAGAGTAATTTCGGCTCTGCATCGCCGTACAGATAACGAAAGTGTACAGATTTTTCTCGTTCTAAAGAAGCCCTGAAAAAAGCCTTCTAACAACATCAAAAAAATTATAAAACAAAAAAAAGGGGAAAAACGAAGGAAAATCGCGAAAAGCGGCGGAAAGGCCAGTGATCTGAGGGTCGCTGGTTCGACTTCCACCGGTGACAATATTTTTCCAAATTTTTTGCTAAGATTCTGAAAATGCGTGTCTAGGGGTTATTTTTGACGCCGATCACGAAACACATGTTTTTAGCCTAGGTTTCTGCACGGAAAACTAACGAAACGTGAAAATAGCCATTTTTTTGGCCCTGCCGCACTTTACTAAAATAGCTGTAAAAACTTTTAGAAAAGAGATATCTCAAAACGGTTTTTACCAATCGATCCGTCTTGAATTCAGCTTTAGGATTGGCTATAAAATGTCAAAATTGGACAAATTTAAGGTACTCTCCCAAAAAATCCGAAAGGACTTTTCCACCAACCCAATATTTGGAGGAGCTCAACTGGGTCTCTAAAGTTTTTTGTGGGAGACATTATTCTTAATCCTTGTTGTATTCTTGATCCATAACTGTTTTTGGGAGTATGTTTTCTGTGTTCATGGTTGGAACTGTATTCAGATTAAAACATAGCTTAGATAGCCAAATGAGCTGAATGAACTATAAAGTAAAAATAGCCAGCAATCAATAAAGCTTCAGGTTTCAAAGCCAATTGGGTTTTCGAACCGTCTTTGTTTGTCCTGTTGGAAAATTTCTTGGTAAGCATTGATAAGATTTGATTGACTTCGGTTTCTGATGTTTTGCAACATCTTGTAGCGAAAATTTACTTAAATGATTCTTTTCCGATTTAGATGTTTGACTCTCAAAGTCTAAAAAAGAAATCCGATGAAAGACAGCAAAGAGGAGAAGTCAAGAGGTTGACCTTTCTTTTCAGGATGAATATATTGAAGTTGGTTTCTTCACTTCACAAGCCAATAGCAGGTTGCCTGGAAGCAGCCAGCAACGGCAAGTGATCGTCTCCCAGCCACTTCAACTGGAAGCAGCTATGGATCGGGAAGCAGGAGATGCCAAGAGAAGGACTGTCGCACACTGGTTTCGCTTTGATTCGTTTATTTTGTACTGCTTCTTATAGGAAACAGTCAATGATCTATGGTCAACAGTCAATGATTTTGCTCATGGGAAAGTGGTACGTTTTCATTGTAGATCACCGAAAGAAAGCAGGAAAAGTAAAGTCCATGAATGAATGTTTTTAGTTTTGTGGTGGCTGCGGCTTCAGAAATCATCGTACTTGCGAAACTCCAAAACTCATATGATTTATAGCAACATTTTTCGTTTTTTTCTTGCTCTAATTTAGATTACAAAGGATTAAAATATTTATTCAAATGTTTTTCGACAATACCCGTTTTGAAATAAAAGTTAAAAATGACTCATTTTTGAATTTGCAGCTTACAAGTGATCTTTAAAGAATAACCATGACATATTTCAAAGAAAACCTACAGCCTTTGGAAATTTGGCATAGGTATTTTAAAAGCAGCTCTCAATTTTTTCCAAAACCACATCAAATTTCGCTGGAGCGTGTGCCACGGAGAAAACAGCGGCCGCGCCTCGAGGGGGATTCGTTTCAGATGGATGGATGTTGTATCGACACAAAAGATTACCCAAGATCTGAAAAGAGCTATTCACTATGCAGCTAAACTATTTTCAGCTTTGGCAATTGAACCACTCACCAAGTAGATCTCATTTCTTGCTAAACTCTCGCCCGGACAACTCCTCTTTCCAATTCCGAATGGAATCACTTTCTCAGCCAGTGTTTTCCCGTCATCACCCAAGAAGCGACTTGGTTCAAACTGAAATTTTCTTGATGGGTTTTAAATTTTAATACTCACTGCATCTGTGCCGTGAAATACTTCAGGATCACTGAGAATCAGTGAGAGCTGAGCTGTGGTCATTGTGCCAACTGGTATGTCGACCCTAAATGGGAAATAAAGTTATCTTCAAAATGGGAAAGTAATGTTAGTTTTAGGGTTTCACACAGCTACTTCTACTAATGAATTAGATTTTACAATTTTTAGAATTATATTTTATTTTTTTTTTTTTTTTTTTTTTTTTAAAAAAAAAAAAAATTTTTTTTTTTTTTTTTTTAATATTTTTTTTTTAAAAATTTTTTTTTTTTTTTTTTTAAAAAATTTTTTTTTTTTTTTTTATTTTTTAAAAAATTTTTTTTTTTTTTTTTTTTTTTTTTTTTTTTTTTTTTTTTTTTTTTTTTTTTTTTTTTTTTTTTTTTTTTTTTTTTTTTTTTTTTTTTTTTTATTTTTTTTTTTTTTTTTTTTTTATTTTTTTTTTTTATTTTTTTTAAATTTTTTTTTTTTTTTTTTTTTTTTTTTTTTTAAAAATTAAATTGATATCATTGCTGGCCAACTCACCCATCAATCGAACAAGGTGCATTGGTGAGCCTCCATAAATTAAAATTCAAAATTGAAGCCAGTCTTTGCACTTCCTAAAAATTAAAAATAAAAAGTTAGAAAGCCAAGCTACACGTACAGTGCAAGTTGCCGTAAAGTAAGGGGTTTTTGGTCGATCGGCGAACGAAAGATTTCTCGAGCCACCCGTTGCTGCGAGAACCTGAAGCAAGTGATTTCAGCAATTGAAGCAGTTAGCCGAGTTTTCATTGTTCATCTACTCTAACCTCTTGTTGACACCGTTTCATGACAGCTGGATGTTCCAGTAATAAATGGAGTGCCCATTGCAGGGTGATCGTTGTCGTTTCTTGGCCGGCCAACCATAAATCGTGCAAATCGATGACTAGGCCGTGAGTTCTGAAAGAAAAGGGTTTTATCGGCTTTCAAAGTTTGCTTAGCAGTCCATTTATTATTCATCTCATTTAGTTTTAACTGTTAGAACTGTAGAGTTCTAACGTTTTTCCTTTTGTAAGCATTCTTTAGAATTTCAGCATCAATGCTGAGAAATTTAGCCTAAACCTTGCAGTTGTTGTGAGAAATTTTGCCGAAATCGTTTAAAAAGGATTTCTAAAGAAAATTCTTTTTCTTGTTTACGTTATCTGTGATCTTTCAAATATTATTAGCTTTTAAAACTTATTTTTCAAATCGTATTTTGTGCAGAAAATTCCTGCTTTGACGAATGTCCCGATAAAGGTCATTTCTTTGCACCGATAACGCTTTTCTTACGAAAATTTTACGAATGAGATCAATGATGCCAATAAAAATAGCTCACAAAAGAACTATAAAAACTACAAGCAATTACGAAAGCCAATACATTTCTGGTTTCATAATCATCCTTTGTTGATAACAATTTGTAACAATAACAATAATCTTAAGGAACAAATTCATTCTTTATATTCCGAAAAACAAGAAAAGTTAGTTCTTTTCAAAAAGATCTTCTTTCGATGCAATACATGCTTGAAGACGGCGCGGAAAGGCATCAACGATGGCAGAAAGATAGGCTTCGAGTTCACCCCAAGCCTTTTGAAGAGATTTCTTCAAAGAATCAATAGTTGAATGAGCTTTAAAGCAGGCTTTGACCTCTAGGATACTCCAAACATACTGAAATTCAATCGAGAGTGTTGAGGTACCCATTTCTGAGGTAATTTTCGTTGGGAACGGGTCCTTTGTACTTGCTTCACCGTCTCCTTTGTTGTCACTGTCGTCCTTGGGTCTCGTCCTGGTCGGTCGGAGTTTGTTCCCAAGGGTTTGTAGCGTTGAACTGTCTTTGAAACAACAGAGTTAGCCACCAGCAATCGACTGACGATGCTTTTCTGCCTCATGCCCCGTTTATAGAGGTTGATGGTTGTCCTGGCCGATCGGAATTTGTTCCCAAGGGTTTGTAGTGTTGAAATGCCTGCTCCGGTTTCTTTGCCACTCTAAAATTTCAAAAAAAAGCAAATAAGATGTTGTCAAAATCTTAATTGACAAGAAAAACAGAAAACAGCCAAAAATTTGAGTACGCGCCCTCATAACCATTAAGAAGAATGCGTCACCTCAGTTTCTGTAATTGCGCGCCACCCTGTACATCGGTTATTACTAGTAGTAGATAAATAGATTAAAGATAGACTGGTAGATAGTTTAGAGATGGATCACGGTAGTTTTCAAAAGTTGGCAGAGTTGGTCGATCATTAGATCATTAGGTCGATCGACTCACGTCAATTCGCCCACATTGTCGCCTCGTTTCTTCTGCTCCATCATGTAAGCATCCATATAATCTTCGGGTTCATCGTTCAACTTGTATTGTCCAGAGGCAACTTCGTCAACTCTGAATATTTTCATAATAGATTCCTCTGAATGATTTTACCTCCTTTGCACATTTTGCTTCACAAACTGCAACACTGGATCAATACAGCTCACAATTTGTTCGTATCTCCTAAAATTTAAATTTTAGCGATCAAATGATGTTCAACATTTCACAAAGATTGCCTGAGCCTCACCATTTCAAAATCGGCACGTGTTTCCACCACGGTTGCATTAAAACATCCATAGGAGTCATTTTATCGATCATGTTATCCATTTTCTGCTTGATCCCGAAGAAGTACTCTCTTCTTGGCTAAAATTGATTTAAAAAGATTCAAAATCTTACAAGTCATTCTTGTCTTTACAAGTTTTACCTTGTCAAATCGGTATCCAAAAAGAATTCGATTGATGATCGATCCGACGATCAAATCAGTGAGATGCGAGGCGGTCACCTCCATTTTTCCTTTGACCATCGTCTCCTCGAGATCTCCCAGTTGGTAATCCATTTCTAGAATTGATTTGTATTTAGCTTAAATGTTCAATTCCCTCCTCACCTTCAATAATCCTCCCCTCCATGATATTTCTTCCCATTCCGAAGTTTCTCAATGTCTGAAGTGCGAAACGGCTAAAATTTCTTGACGTAAGGAATGTTTTGAATTGCTGAACTCTTCTGCTAAGCTGAAAGAATACCGTGGCTCAATATAAAACTTGAGTCACTTGCTAACGCTTAAATCTTATTTCATCAACGAATTTCCCTTACCGATGCTCAGTCCATGTCTCCCCGGTACTCGCAACGATTCCCCAGGCTTTTCCCGTTGCATCTAAAACTTTCATCTTCGTTTTACTGTCAAAATTTCGAACCGATTTGATTTATCCGTATGAACGGAGCGACGTAGCGACCGAGTTGGGTGTGACCCTGAAAGTTGAGAATTGAAAACTTTAAAATGTTCTTATTATTAGCTTTTTGATCTAGCGATATGGTTTCTCACTAGACATGAGAAAATTCCAATCCGAACCTAATTCCATCTTCCTTTCCTCAGCCGTCTCTTGGCATCTGCTCTGAAGTTTTGTCTACAAGCAAAGAATGCCAATTTCTATTTGTAAACAGAATTTTAGAACAATTGGTCAAGAGACGGCTGAGAAAACAAAGGTAGAATTAGGTTCGGGTTGGAATTTTCCGATGTCTATGACTCACCTGGTTGACCATGAGCTCCTTGGCTTTCTCGAGAGTGCAAATGTTAACAAAGGGCATTGAACCAAGCCATAATGTATGAACCTGTAAAGTAAATTGTCACAATCAATAACACCGGAATGAAATCACTCACATCTCCGTGTCGCTTCTGAATTTCCCTCAACGCTTTCGCAAAATCTCCTTTCTTATAGCAATACCAATAAAGTTGGGGAAGATTGCCAAAGAAGAGAAAAGGTAATGGGCCTGAATAGCGTTTGAAAATTTCAAAACTTTATGCAACGTACCGTTTGGCAATTTTCTTACAGTCAAGTATTGAAAGAAGCCGTAGATAAAGAGAAATGAAAAGAATAGTAGAGCTAACATAGAGTTTAGTTTTGATCAGCCACAGTAAGACAATTTCTGTTTCAGAAACCTTGTGAAACTTCTTATTTGCCTTAGATTTTGTATTTTCTCCACCTTTTATATAATTCCCAACAATTATTAAAACAATTTGTCACTTTACCGTATGCTTATTGAGTATTTTTCTTTGTCTTAAAGATTAATGAGTTTCACAGTGAAATTTCTCCTTAAATTTCTCCCTTGTTAGCCTGTTTTCTATCTTATTCGATCATCTCTCTTCCTCGTGCGCTTGACCAAAACATAAACTCAACAAAACTTTAAGAACGCTTTTGAGATTTAGTAAAAAAACAGTCACAGATTACAGGTACTACTCAGGAACTTGAATACTGTTTAACCAATTTAAGTATCAATAAGTTACAAGGGAAAGGCAACAGTAGACCAGACAAATGAGATAAGACAAATGAGAAATTCGACGCAGAATTATTGGACTTCGAAAAACCACTCTTGCCAACAATTCTACCATTTCTGTTGGCCTCCCTAATGTCTTTTGCAATTATCCTATCGTTTTGGTGGTTCGTGGTATCGTGAATTGGATTATAAAGAGGCACTCGTCGGTAAAAAGGATGTCCAAATGGCGTGCCAACGCTTCAACAAGACTTTGCTTAGTTCGACCCTAGTTTTCTTCATTTGCTCAGTGAGCTCATGAGCTTCTTGGACCTCGTAGGGGTGAAGGTGAAGGCGAATCTTGCAGATGTTTCAGGCAGATCCTTCCGATATTCCATGTTTTTTAGTCAATTTTCGCCTCGATCTCGCCGGATTTCTTCGGATTTTCTTTCGGATGTTTTTGACGATTGTAGAAGTTGTCGCACTTTTCTAACGGCCCGTTCTGGGACGATCATTCATCGAACCAGTCTCCTTTAAGCGCTGGACATTGCGAAACACTGTGCTTCGATGTATTTGAAGTTGTTTTGCAATCATCGAATCAGAAACCCCACGAAGGTGAAGAGCCTTGATTGCGGCCCGAAGATCTCCGGTCCCATCTAAAATAAAATTTATGAGAGAAATCAATTCACGAATAAACACTTTAAACACACTGAAAATTCATAAATAACACAAAATGACAACGAATAATGAGGGAAATTCATTAATTTATTCTTACAAAGCTCTGTTGCAGAACTTTTTATGCCCCCTGTATAATTGATATTTTTAAAAATTTAAAATTAAACCACATAAATTAACATTGATGAAAATCAACAAAAAAGCATTAAAAAAGAAAAGCAGATTCAGAAGCAGCGTGAAATTCTACGTCGAATGGTCTATGACTTATCTCATTTAGCTACACTACTGGACAATGAAATATCATATTTGAAAAGAGATCGTCACTTTCACGCGTCTGTAACTCCATTGTCTTTACCGTATTTCTAAATATTAATCTTACCATTGTGTAGCCCTTGAAAAGAGCTTTCAGAAAATGTATAACACTAATAGTTTAAACTCAAAGACAAGGGAATTACAGACGCGTGAAAGTGACGATCTCTTTTCAAATATGATATTTCATTGTCCAGTACTGTACATCCTACTGTTGCTTTTCCCTTCTACGTACAATTGAAATTTAAAACATGGAAGACTGATGGATTCTGATGATGTCTTGCCCACCATAAGTTACTCGTTACTCACAAGGACACATTTTAAGCAAGATGATTCAGGTTGCTGAACGAAAGGGGAACTAAAGGTTGAACTAAAGGTTACAATGCAACAAGTTTGGGTACAACAAATTATTAGATTGGCAACTTGAAATTTGGTACACTTATTCATTGCAGCTTTAGAAATAACTAGTACACCAATTAATCTACAGTTTTTACCAATAAAAAGGCCCATTCATTCTCTAAAACAGGCCTTTAACAGATTTAGAAAAGCTTCGGTTTCGTAGGTTTCTAGGGGGGCAAGAAGTTGAGAAACTAAAAATGATGAAGACTCGATGAAACGATTTGAGCAATTTCTTCCACAGAAATCTATTTTGATGTTAATAGCAAAAAGATAGAGCATGAAAAATTAGGCCGATAGTCGAATTCTTGGCGCCATTTGTCTAAGTTATATGTGTGTTTGAAGAATTTTCAGAAAAACTTGAATTTCTGCTCAAATTCGTTTCAAAAGTTCTCCAAATTTGCTTGTGCATGTCTTAAATTAGATAATATATAGCTTTTATTTTGAGTAGAAGTCTAATTCAATTGGTGTATTCAATATGTTTTATGCAAAACTACGAAAAATTGTACCAACTTTCAACTTTTCAATCTAATCTAAACAATATTATGTTGCTATGTTAAAGGTTTTGCTGTTTTTAAAGCCCTCGCTTGTTTACACTTCATTTTGATGAGTAAAGCGCTCTCTCAGTTGATTCGATTCCTCTTGCAACTAAATTGATCCAAACGTGTGATCACATGTGATGTGATCCATTTTCCAACTCCATTTTCCAATCAATCAATCTCAATTTCCCAATTTCCAATCAATATACAATTCCCAGCCTTCAGCATTTCTTATCTAACCTTTTTCCCTTTTTCTTTTTCCATTTTCCTTCTCCATTTTCCTTCTCCTTTTTATCGTGCCTTTGTGTAGTGGCAGAGGTTTCCCTTTCTCTTTCTCGCCGTTTGATCGTTTTCTTTCCTTTTCCCAGTTTCCCCATCGATTCCCCTTTTCAAACAAACTCTTCTCTTTCGTAACATAAAATCGCCTTTTCACTGTTTTTTCGGACTTTACACTCATTTTTTCATTGCGTAACTTTGCAAGAAAACTTTACTGTAAATTCTGTGATAACTGACGTGGCTTTAGATTGTGTTATTAGTAGTGTCAGATTAATTAAGTAACGTTTCGGGAAACTGTATGAAACTTTGATAAAGATCTATTTCGAAAACAAATTGGCATCATTTTTTTTGCAAACAGTAACAGTCTAGGTTTCCCATTTGATTTTATGCTTTCTGAAAACGAATGTCAGAGCATGTGAACGGTGGGATCTTTCCTGCGCCAAGAAATGAATACAATGAGGTCAGGGATTGCTTTCAATCAAATCAACTAACCGCTCAATTAGGCATTTTTCAACATGCAAGATATCTCCATCAGTTTCGAACAGGACTCGTTTATCGAAGCGATGGAAGATGAGGTGTATGAGGATGATTGTGAGTTGCATTGATTACATGGTTACATTGATTGATTACATAAGAATATGGTTTTTGAACCGTAACAGTTAATATTAGGAACTCGAAGCTTGCGATCCAGATCTGGATCCAGAACTGGACCTGGATCGGGAAAATCTTGACTTTAAACTACCTTCGCTTGGCCTTTGCTTAGCTTAGTCTTGCAAAGAATTGAAAAATTGACCTTGACTGGAGAATTATGGCTGGTTCTTATGTTCACAACCAGAACTATCTGCCTAGACTCATAGAAATCGACCAAGGCTAAATATATTCAATAAAACTGAAAGCAATCAGAAGGCATCAATCAAATATCAAATGAAAGTAATAAATTTCAAATCAACATTGTTCTTTTAGGTAAATCCTTTGAATTCATAATGGAAATCGAAGAGGATCGATCAGCCAAAGTGACACTCAAAGTGACGAGGAAAGGAGGTTGGGATCGGTTGCGATCAGGAAAATATCGAAATTTAGCCAAAATTGATACAATCGATATTGTAATCGTGATCAGCAAGGATTTATTGAAAAAATGTAAGTGCAATAAATGATTTTTTAGTAATGATTTCGTTTTTTTAGCCGGACATTTGTTCGTCGTGAAAAGAGAAGATTTTCGGAAGTTCAAGAAACAAGAAAGTGGTAAAAGATATTCAAGTTTACAAAGAAGAATTGAATTCAGAACGATTTTTGGTAGGAGAAGCGGCTCAAGGACTTATGAATCTCAGTAAAATTGGTGAGTTGAAAAGCCAAAAACTTTCGATAAATCAATTTCTAGAAGAATCTTTGCCGAAGACTGAAAAAGCTAAAGCACCACAGCCGGATTTGTGTAGGAATTGCAAGATGGCGATGAGTTTGGAGATTTTCAAGACAAATTTCAAATGAATTTCTAGACTCAACCGCATTACCCATTTCTTTCCCAACGTTTCCCGTCAATTTTCCACAAGTTTTCAATTTGAAGCCACCGATAAGACCAGGTTTTTTCGTTGTATGTGCCTAAAACGGAAACTCTAGCAATACCTACAAGTAGTGCAAAAGTGAGAAGGAAAATCGAGACGTTCCATCAATTGCCCAAACATCCAGATGAGATTCCGCGTAAGTTTTGAGAAAACACAGAGTATTCTTGAAGCTTTGAATCTGGGCTTTTGACTGGTTATCGGTTATTTTTGACCTTTTCCCATTGACAATCTAACTTTGAGCTCAAATATCTTGGTGTCGGGCTGTCCAGTTTAAACATTCTTGATATCATTGGATGCGCCCAGTCTTTCTCTGTGGATTGGAACAAAAACTACATAAATTGAACGGCCCAACACCTAGATATTTGAGCTCAAAGTTAGATTGTCAATAGCAAAGGGGCGGGGCCTCACGTATGAAAGATACCACAGTCTATTTGACTAGGACCATTTTTCAAGTTCTCATCGACAAAAAGAGTGCGGTCCGGGACGAGCAAGGACAATTATTGGATGAATACAGAAGCACTGAATGGAAGAGTGAGGAATGGGCAAAGGAAAAACTTTGCAATTTCTCGCTTTCTACCCCACCTCCACCATCGTTGTTGTATCAGAAGAAAAGCTGTGGAGCGAATGTAAGTACTTTCTGGGAGATCATTGTTTCATTCAATTCAGAGAAAAGAGCAAAATGAGCTGAATCCGTATGAACTGACAAACGAGGATTACTCACAGATCAGCAATGGAACGCTGGCTACGAGTGTTTGTTCACTCTTTTAATAGATCATTCGTTTTCAGATCAGAGTTGCTTTAAACCATTACACGAAAAACAAAACAGCAGATAACAGCATAGCGGTTTGGAAAGCGATTATGGAGTTTGCTTTGAAAAGTTTACTAATCAAGCCGAATCTAGTCGAGTTGTGAACTTACGGCAATCGAATAAGCACAAACGAGAGAAATGGCAGAAAGAGAAATGGTTTACAGCCACCGTTGCAGTGTTTAGGTAGAGTTAAACGTTTCAAAACTGTTTTAGAGGTTTCAGTTCGAAAAATATTCACAAGTTCACAAGTATTCACAAGTAATCTCAATTTAGTTCGCATTTCCTATTACTGAGAGAAGTCTTCCAAGAAGTGACCATCGGCCTCAAACAACCCATTGAAATGGTGAATGTTTTGCGGGAAATCGAGGCAGCTTGTCACGAAAATACAACTGAATATGATGATCGAGTAGGTTTTGCAGTACCCTAAAGTCGCGAGTATAAGTTCTGTTTGGTTTTCGCATGCAAATTGACGGCTGTCTCCGCGGCGGTGTGTCGAGGCTCCGAACCCCGCTGCAGCATAACTTTTTTGCTTTTTAAGAACAATAATAGAAGTAAATTTATTGAGGGTTATAGCAATTTTATGCTGTTATTTGTTGCTCCGGGCGTGGCTCGGCGCGTCCGCCCTGCTCCACTCCGGTGCTCAGTCTTATGGATCCCTCCCTGGCCTCTTCATCCGGCCAAAGTCCACGTCGACGGTCGAAAGAGATGCTTTCCAGCGTCTTCTTCAACACTATCGTCTGGATGTATCCATGCACATAACAAATAGCAATGGTGATAGGCTGTCACCCTGTAGTATCCCGCGCTCCAAGAACAATAATAAAAGTTTATATAGCAATAAAAATGTATAAAAACCCAACAAAAAGAAATTCAAAGCAATTAAAGCGAATGTAAATTAAGGCAAAACTTATACTCGGATGAACTTATACTCGAGATTTTAGGGTAATTGCTCAAACAATTGCCATAATTGCTCATTAAGTTTGAAAGTTTGATTATTAGTTTGATCTTCACTCTTTAGATCAAAAAGATCGTCGAATATGCCCAAGAGGAGGCTGGTCGAAGGCCAAAAAAGAGAGCAGTTCATGTAAAAGGAGAATCTCCTTATCCAGATGAACCAAAAGATGATGTTGAAGAAGAAAAAGATGAAAAAGAGTCGGTGAAAAGTGAAGAACAGCCAAAAAGGGCACGAATTGAAAGGAAACACAATGAAACTGAGAAAATTACAGAAATTCTCCAGCAAATGGCTCCTCTTATAAAAGATAAACCACCGTGAATGATTCGTAGATTTACATTTAGCTCAAAATCAGCTTTGGTCTTATTTTCAACAATTACACAACTCTAGATCAATCAGGTATTTCAGTGCCTTCTTTGTATCGCTCATCTTCATTCTAGGGTGATACATTTGCTTGTTATTCATTTCACTTGTTATTCAATAAAAATTTCAATACGATATATATAAGATATTTATCCCGTTTTTTGAACCGGTAATCAACCCGTGAGATTCCTGTTTTTCATCACATTTCGCAAGTTTTCTTTGGCATTCACTGATGCTTTGTCTAAACTTAATGCTCTCTGATAAGCCATTTTTGCATCATTCAAACGATTCCAGCGTTGATAAAGAATACCTAAATTGTAGATAAAGTAATTGAAAAGAGATTCAGACCAAGATTTGAATAATAAAGGGAATTCGTTGGATCCAATTGAATCGCTTTGTGGAGATTTTTCTCTGAGAGAACGAAATGGCCAAGTTGGCCGTAGCAAGTGCCGAGCTAAATTACATTTTACAGTTAATTTGAACGTGAAAAATTGTTATTTGAGACGCAAAATGACCTCTTTTCTAGTCATAACTTTGAAAGCTTACCTGAAAATGTATTGATGGATGTGAAAGATGAATAAGTCGATCATTCAGTCGTGCAACTTCTTCACACCGTCCAGTCTCATCCAAATGCACAAGCAGATTAATCCAAGAAGGTTCATGGCTTTCATCAAAACTGAAAACTTGATAAACAATGTATCTATTTCAGTTTTCCAGCTTACCCAATCGCCTTTTCCCAACTTTCCACAGCCTCCTCGTTTCTTTTCATTTCGAGGTACAAGTTGCCGAGATTGAAATAACAGTCAGCTGAGTTTGGACGGTAACGCAAAGAGTTATTGAAAGCGATCAGAGATTTCTAAATCAAGAGTAAAAAGTTATCCATCAATAAATTCAATAGGTTTGATCAGACCTCAAGATTTCCCAGCTTCATCTCGGCAATCCCGAGATTCATCCAAGCGGTGGCAAAATTTGGGCGTATTCTAAAAACTGGCTGGGTTCTAGGCCTATGGTACTTATGGTATTTCCTTCGCTTTCTTCCTTTCTTTCTCTTCCTTGGCTTTCCTATTTCTTCTTGTGATAGCTTGGTGGTAGAGCATCTGCTCGGTAAGCAGAAGGTCGAGGGTTCAATTCCCCTTTGGTTTCAAATCCTTTTTCATTAATTTCTTTACTTTCTTTAATTTACTCAATTTCTTTCTTTCTTTTGAACTTCTTACTAATTGATCTTCTTACTAAATGACAAACCTTATCTTATTTCTTACTAAACCTTACTTCGTACTAAATAACAAACCTAATCGCTTCTCTCAACAATTTGCTCGCTTCAGCAAATCTCCCTTGACTTTCGTAAATATTCGCCAAGTTGTTCATCGCTTGCTCATAGTTTGGATTCAATCTGAAAACAATGTTGAAAAGCTTAAACTCAAGTCTTACTCTAATGCCATCTCGTATTCATCTTCGGCTTTCTCTGAGTTTCCTCGCTGACTCAAGATTTTTCCCAAATTGTAATGAATCTTCGCATTGTTCGAGCAAACGCGAAGACCGCTGCTGTAGAGAGAGTACTCACTGCGCCAGTCAAATGATCTCTGAAATGAAAAGAAATCAATCTGTTAGTTTATTAGGTTAATGAGTTAATTTAAGTTAAGTTAGTTAATTAAGAAAAGAAATAAAGAAGTTAGTTACTAGATAACTGGTCTGATCAAAACCAACCTGCCAAGAGAGAGCTGTCAATAGTGCTACCAGGGCCCATAGTGATTGATGTCGTAAACGGGTATTCAGTTTTTGAGCAACTAGTGCGATGAGAAGACAGAAAGCAAAAGATGGAAGATAGAGAACCCTCTCAGCGATGGTGAATCCAACAGTCAAGAAGAGATGGCTTGATGGGAGAAAAGTCAGCAATCCAAACAAGAGACCAAAGAGCATTAGTCTAAAAGTGTTTTGCTTGCAAAGTGTTGGATAAAGAAATGTCTAGGAGATCTAACCATTCTTTGAGTGAGCTTGTAAAGTCTTACCTTTGATCAACTTGATGCAACTTGTAAATGGTATAGATCAAAAGAGGTATCGGGGCCAAAATCATCAAATTTCTTGAGTCTACTAGATGTTCGATTGGTTGAATACATCCCATCGAATAATCAAAGCATTGTGAGATTGGGAAAATCAAGAGATACAAGTTGTAGAGCCAGAGATTTCCGATGGAGAGCCACTAAACTTGATATTTTCTTCAATTATCAGCCGGAAATGCTTTCAAAGTTTGTTAAACCCACTTTCATCACCGGATTCTCAATGAAAGCCACCAAATTGTCTAACTTTGAGAACTTTGGGCTCTCAAAATTATTGATGAAAAGCCTCAACAATCCGAGAATCGAAATCAATGGGATGATTTTGTAGGTAAATTTCTTTTGCTTTGTAGAAAATCGAGAAAATTTTAAGAGATCACAGAAGAGAATGAGTACCTAAACAGTTCATTCGCTTAACTACAAGACATTTCTCTTACCGGTAACATAAAACCCTGTTCTTTCGAGAGAATTGATAAAGACGAGTAGGTCACAAGTTGTGCAAATGTTAAACTATCAGCAAAATATCTTTGAAGTGCGATTAGAAAGAATAAAGACATCAGTAATTCAGCTCTTCCCGTTACATTACAGACCTGAAAATGAGGTTTTATTGAAAACTAATGATAAGGCTTACAGCTTCTGTATGAACTGGATGAACAGCAAAAATGAGAGTTGTGGATTGTACAGTAAAGCGATTGGCTGTTAATCTAAAAGTTGCGAATCTAATCTGATAATCTAATCCAATCTAATCTATTGTTACTCTAATCTAAATGAATTCCAGACGATCAAACCGCTTTGTCAGCTTCCAGATATGGTAGGTGACCAAGAAATGGAGGAAGATGTTCACCAAATGGTAGCCAAGTGGAGAATTCCCGTGAAGCTGATGATTCAACCTGAAATTCGATTTTAGATAACCATTTTGATCAGCTTTACTATAGAAATCTGTAGTTTTTACTTTCGAATCCACTTTCCCAATTCCACCTCTCAGTACCTCACCCAGTACCTAACTCTGTTTTTCCCTGGGGATCCTACAAGGATTAAAAGAGAACACTCCTTTTCCCTTTCCCCGTACACCCATCAATTACCACACCTACTCTCCATTCTTACATATAAATGCGATGCATGGATTCCTCACCCGGTACCCAATTTACGCAAGGAAGTGCTAATTGGGAATCTTTTCAAGGCGATCATCCGGAAATGTCTCCGTTGCGCAAGGTCTATGACAGGACAATAGAAAAAGGTAGTCAAAAGGATGGGTAATGGAGTTGACAATGACAATGGAGTTGACAACTAAGATGGTAAGAAAAATGAATATAATTGTTTACATGGCGTCTTAAATTTGATAATGATAATGAAGATTTTTCAGGCGTCATAAATTTGGGTTCACACAAAAAGCAACAACAAATTTTGCCTAAATTTGAAACCAGGATTGGCCAACAGCGTGGGGCAAAAGTTCTGTCGTCTCACTTACTAGAATTATTTAGAGATTTTGAAACAAATACCAATCAGTTTTGGATATCAAATAAATGTTTAATAGGTCTAGTTTGGTTTTATGCTTGTTTAAGCTTTGTTTGCTTGTTTAGCTTGTTATAATAGCTTGTTTTATGAATATTGAATAAAAACGTATAAAAAGCGTCAAATAAAATGTTTCCAGAAGAATTCTATCTTTTATTAGTGACAAATTTATAAATAAAGCCTTTGGTCGCAAACGATTTGCTGAAATTTCAGGTATAAAAGCCTTTTGGGATTATCTATGGTCCTCATTTTTAAATAAGCTGAGCAGCAAATCAATTTCTATGTAATATGACTTTTCTAAGGAGCTCTTATCAAATATATTATTCTAATATCCATTTTTCGTAAAGAAAAGTTATCAAAATTCAGGAAAAAAGCTAAAATTTACTAAACTACGAAACTAAACTACTAAATTTTCTAGCTCTAACAACTTTTTGCAGAAGTAACCTAGGCCATTGAACCTCACCACTAGATAATTTAAAAGTTCTACTATCTCCTATGATATTCTTCATTGAGCTGAAATAAAATTCAGTTTTTGAGAATCGCTCAACTTTAGAGTGGTGGCAGGATTTTTGGCGAACTCTGTAAATGGTTTTTACAGACAATTATGGAGACTCAAGTTATTGAGTCTAACTCAGTTCTCGATGCCTCAAATGAAATGACTCTTTTTTGTTAATACATTCTGAATTATTTGCTCTAGGAAAAACATTATTGGACAAAGGTAACTGTTTCCTAAAAGTTCTGATAATTATTCAAAGTGCGCGCGTTGGGAATCCCCAGCCGAACCACTATGAATCGTTCTTTTTATGATTACGGTTGCCTAAAAACATGAATGTGTTCAAGAAGTAGTCATAAAACATTGAAATTCAATCAAAGAAACGGTTCTTTTCTTGCGAAAATTTCTATCTCCTATGCAAATCGTGAGATATCATCATTCGGCCGGGAATTCCAGACGCGCGCACTTTGAATAATTATCAGAACTTTTAGGAAACAGTTACCTTTGTCCAATAATGTTTTTCCTAGAGCAAATAATTCAGAATATATTAGCGAAAAAGAGTTATTTCATTTGGGGCATTGAGAACTGAGTTAGGCTCTGAACTGATAACTTGAGTTTCCATGATTCTGTTGCATCATGCACTAATCCGTTCATTTGACTTATGAGTTTTGCTCAGTTGCTGGGAATAGGTTAGAACTTATCTCCCGTTTTTTTTCTCATTTCCTTATTCTTGCTTAACTCAGCTCCCCAAAGACCAATAATGGGTATGGGATATGTGGGTGTTGAGTGAAGATTCTCGCTCACCCATTTGTCATTTCTTTTCTCTCTCTTCCCTAAGTCATTCAAGAGAATGGGTGCCTGATCCTCGACTTATCCCTCACAAATAAGCCCCTCGGGGATAACACGAAGGATTTGCAATCGCTGTGTAACTCGTTCATTTGACTTATGAGTTTTGCTCAGTTGGTGGGAATCGTTAAATGAAAATGCGGCAAAATGACACAAACAAACAAAAGTTTACAGTATTTAATCAAAGGTTTTAGTTTTAGTTACAATATTACAGTATTACAGTATTAAAGTTTACAGTTTACAGTTACAGTATTCAAGTAGAATCATTCATATTACTACAGTAAGTCAAATCCTACTCTGACTAAACGATTCAAATATCCCATGACATTCTTCGAAGATTTATGCCTTGTTTCCCGTTTTTTCTTTTCCAATTCTTCTCTTTTCATCGAATGTCATGGTTTATTCTTCGGGAAATCTCTTTTTGATGCATTCAACGGTTTCCTTCTTTCTCTTCTTACACATAGATCCACTTTGCGCAATCTTGCGGCCTGACAGCCCATTGTCAGCCAACACCTGCGCTTGGGAAAAGAACTAGCGAGTATTTTTGGCCAACTAGAATTGAAAGTTTGAGCTTTTTTTTAAACTGGGTAAATATTTTGAAGTACTTTTCTTCTAGATACTGTAAGACTAAGGTTGATCTTTATCCTGCAATCATTGCACAATTTCACACCATCTAGATCTCCGTGCTTCCATAAGCAAGCAAATTCCTCACTAAAGAGCGTTCACTTCCCCTTCTTCTTCTCAATATCAAATAAATCCCCTGAATGCACGAAGCAGACACAAAACAGAAATGGAAAAGGGGTGAACATTATGCAAGGATGGATGGATCGAGTTACGGCTTTTCGTGCATTCACCCCTCATTGAACAGATCTTCGAGTAAATGAGTGGATTGAGAAGGGAAATTTTGAAAACATTTCTGTATTTTGAGGAATATTTGCTTAACCAAGCTTTAGATTTAGAACCAGCATTTAGCGCCTAGAAATTTCGCAAAATAAATCCACTCACAAGCTGTCGTTTTGGGGCTTTCAAAATGGGAAAACTCAAAGGGGAGCCGCTTAATAGGGAGGATCAAAATGATGAAAATGAATGGAACACATAAAAGACGCGAACGGAAATGGGCTTGCCGAGGGAATAACCACGAATTTGCATATGGAGATAGGTTAGATTCGCATTGTATATTTTTGAGGAAAAGGTTTTATAAATCTTGTATCTAGCTCTGAATCGTTTTGAGCCGAATTCGACTCGATTGACGACTCGATTAAAGATTAATGAAGTTCGGGATGTTTTTGGTGTTTGACACTTGATTTAAGGATGAGCAGTTGTTAGAAGGGCAACTTGTATGTGTGGAAAAATGGATTGTGAGTACAATGGGGTTGCCCAATGAAAAGGGCACAGACGGCCACTTCAGCGGGTAATAGACCACCCCAAGGACAGCCGATCAATTCGAGATTTACCCTGGAACAGGAAAAACACTTCAACATAGCACAAGCTAATGAAAATCATGAGTAAAATATTTTGGAGTTGAATTTTAAAAACTAGAGCTAGAGTTTTGGAGTTGGCTTAGGCTTAGGCTTAGGCTTAGAGCTTAGGCTTAGGCTCAGTCAGGTCAGCTTTTAACTCCTGTTAAGGCAATTTTCCACATCTAAAGTCTTCTCAATACCAAAAAGCTAGCATATAGCCTATTTTTCACACTCCAACTGGGAATCGCTGAGAAATGTCATGTCAATAAGCTGTAAATCATCGATTCACCCCTTTTCCTTCATTCCCTACCGATGAAAGAAGAGATAATGCTTTGCATATGAACCCAAATTTACAATTTTCATGTAAGCCATTCTCATCTGCATATAATCCTTTTCCATTTTACATATTTCAAACACGATTCCTAGATTTTCGACATTTTGAAAGTCGCACTCAAGCGGAGGAGTCGAAATGAGAAAATGAATTGCCTTTTTTCTGGGATCCCCTTTTCCTTTCCCTTTAAACGTTGTCCCCAAAATTGGATTCCCCGAAAATTATTGGTCCTTTTTGGGCAAAAAAATGAATTCAACAAAAGAATTGTACACAGGCTACTGACCAAAAGGTGAACGTCGTGAAGGGACGATACGATTTGTGACTGAGTGAGGAGGAGATCCGAGTACCCCAATAGTCACGGGAAACGATCTAAAAGATGGGATTGAGTATGAGATTTCGGAACTACAAATGCCTAACCTTTACTACTAATACCTAACCTAGTGATTTTTATTTTTAGGTTCTATTGGAACACTTAACTATCAGATTAGTAAACTCTTCTGACCTCATAAATGGGAATTTTTCCTTGAACGATCGGATTGTTTAGAATCGTTTCATGATCATCGAATACGAATTCTCCATCAATTGAAGGAAAACAGCAAATGATTGAAAGAAGACCCGGAAACAAAAACCCAAAAGAGCTTTCGGATTTAGTTTGATCGGGATTCGAAGAGGGAGTAGAAGTGCCTAAAACTGTTAGCGTAAAAAAGAGAAAATTTGCTTGTTTTTATTCACTCACAATGAAAACTCACCTTTTCTAGAACTTGCTCCCAATACATTGTTGGATCGTTTATGTTTTTGTGCCTTCATCCTTCTCTCGCCAGTGTTTCGGTATGCAAATTGAATCTGAACAGCCTTTCTCACTGGCTAGATCCCCTCATTTCATCGACTGTCAAGAGAAGGGATCAGAATGGGATTTCGGGACACAGGTGCTCTGATCTGAACACTATGAATATTCATTAGATTGGATAAATGAAGTGGGATCAAGGAGCGCTTATAGAGAAATGAAAAGCAAAAAGAAATTTCAGTAAATAGCCATAAAAATTTTGAAAAAAACTTGCATAGTAAGTTAGTAGTAAGACTAAAATCTAATCTAGCTATGTTTTGTGATTCGAAAGGAGTGTATGAGATCTCTCATCAATAATGAATGCCCGGATGTCAACAAGCTCTCAAAAAGAGATACACATAATACACCAAAGAAAAAACACTGAAAAAAAACTTTTCATTCGTAAAGTTTCCTCTGGAAATTGTTCTTGGGTACTAATCCCTGAAGAATAAAGAAAGTAAAGCGTGGGATTTGTGTGGGGAAAAACGTGGGAGAGTCAGAACAAGGCTTTGAAGGTTTCATGGACAAAATAGAAGTTAGAACTCAAATCCTACTCATATCAATTCCTATACGAACTCAAATTATATAATCTACATAAATCTCAAATTCTCAAATCTACACATATAAAGAGAATCATTTTTAATTCAGAGTACCAGTTTTAAGAAGAATGTTTAGGTAAAAAGCAATTTGAGAATTTCTGAAGATTCCGAACACCCAGACTACGATATCCTGTTTTCGAAGGCGCGAAATTGAGGCAATATTTGATCAGACGAAAGCAATATTGAGGGGAAAAGGGTGAAGGGTGGCAATATTCCTTTTAGGGGACGTTTAAGAGTGAGATAAGAGAAGAGAGGGGAAAAGAAGGAGAAAAGAAGGGGCGGATCCCCCTCAATCCCTTTAGAATCATCGCTTCCGAGATAGATGGATGCTTGTGAAGCCATTTCAAGGGGTTTCAAGATGGAATTTTTGGGTTGAGGGTTGGATCTTAACTTTGATTCGGAGTAATGTAAGAGAAAGCAATGCAAAGTTAAAGGTAATATAAAAGAGCTGTAAAGAAGTCTACAAACTAATCTATTAGTTTAGCCGAAAAGTCTTGTCCGCTTTTTTTAAAGGTTACTTTTCGAAATGAATAATGAACCAATAAATCTATGGTTTGTTTTATCAGAAAGATCCATTCTTTCTCGACAAACTCGCCATTAAAAACTCATGAATAGCAAGTTTTTATAGTTATTAAAAAGGTGGGGAAGTTGGACAATGAAAAATGATGAAACTCAACGTTGCTATTTGAGCATACCATATAAACCAATTTTGGTATCATGAGGATAAAGAAAGATCATAAAAAGTTAGGTTAATAGCCAACTTTTTAGCTCAATTAGTTTACTTGCTTCCATTACAGGGTGGCTGAAAAGTTCTGTTCCCATTGATATGTAAAGAACTTGTAAAAGCTATAAAAGGTCTCTAATTTTTATGAGTGCACAACTTTATGCTTAGGCTATTAACCTAAAAAGTTGAGTTAATAGCCTAAGCATAAAGGCTGTAAAAGGGTAAAAGAAAGAGAGAAAGAGCATAAAAAGTTAGGTTAATAGCCTAAGCCTGTACTCTAAACATATTAACGTTAAGAGATAAGTTAAAGTTGACCACAAAACTTTGAAAGCTTTATTTCTTGTGAGTCAATGCCAATTTCTGTTTTTTTAAACTTTTTCTTGTCAAATGTTGCCAAGAAAAGACTTTTTGGCTTAACTAATATTAAAAGTAGACTAGACCTATGAAACCAAGGAACAGCTTTCTGGGCAGCTTTTTTGTGTATTTAAGTCACAACAAAGCTTCCAATTTTTGAATAACTCTGAATGTAAACTCGAGTAACTCGAGTAACGCTGATTGCATCGGACTCTCCGCCTATTGTTGTGTGGATTGACACATGTCACCCAATTGAGGCAAATGATGGCTCGATTGACTACCACGGAAAAGAAGCAAGATTTCGCTCAAACTCAAGCTCAGCCAAGAAAGTTACATTCAAAAATGAAAGAAATAAAAGAAAATGCAGAAGAAACTCACTCAATGCTTTTCCAACAGCACTCGGCGGCTCGTTGGGGCTAATTTCTTTACCCTTACAACCACCTTCTTGCCTTCTTGGGCAAACCTCGATTCTTTTCCCATCTTCATGCCCCGCCTTTCCATTCCCAAGAAGCAGTGTCCACCAATTTGTCCAATTTGTACCAATTGCCAATTCAGATGAGATGACGAGTCGCCATTCCAATTCAAGGAACGCTCATGAACACTCATTTCAGTAATATGATTAAACGTTTCATTCGAATTGGAAACAAAAAGTCCTCTTCTTGTGGCCTCCTTGGGTTTTAAACCTGTTTTTGTTTTCAACAAAAGATCAAGAGCAGAAATTTTTGAAGTAAAGACAAGACAGTTTTTCAGGAAATGCAAATTTTGTGATTTTGTGAAAATTTTGTGAATGTTTGTGAGTAAATGAAAGATAAAATTATTTAATCATTGAAAAGATATTGAAAGGCAAATATGTAGCGTTATTCTTGTAGTGAGGGGAATGTGTTGGCATCCAAATAGGACCTCCGTCAAACAGGATATTTGACTCTTCCCCCCGTTTTCCCCTTTTTCCTTTTTCCCTTTTCCTTTTTCCTTTTTCCTCATCCCCATCAGTCTAGTATTTCCGATATTGAATTGCTAGAGAGGAAAAAGTGAGAACTTTCATGCTTGTAGAAAAACAAAAACAAAAGAATTCTCGAAAGCCAACATTTTCTGTATTTGGGTAATTAGTTGTCCACAAAGGATTCACCTTGAAGAGGTCAAAAGACCAAAGAGATTCCGAGAGATTCCCCTCCAAGGTCATTCACCCCACAGTCTTGCAAAGAACCAAAATGATTTCAAGGAAGTCCAGGAAAATGGTCCCGTCAAGTTTTTCTTTTGGAAATCTTCATTTCAATTCCAAGAAGTTGTTGATTTCTCCACATTTCTCTACAATACAACTTAAATGATAAATAACAATAACGAAGCATCTGATACTTCTAGGAAGCTCAAATTTTAGCAATGCAGGGTTTATATCCAAATTATGAGCCTGATTATGAGTAATGCAGTATGAATCATACCAGTAACAAAGTTTCGCTAGTCACTAAAACCTCTGGAAATCCCTGGCCTAAGTTTGGAAAGAGTTTGGAGTTTGAAAGTTTGGAAAGAGTCCTTTTATGATTGGTGCCAATGGGAAAAACAGTGCATAGGATATCTAGCTCGCTGAAAGTCATCATTTACCCATGCCATTTTTCTCCAGATTCACATCAAAATGCTATTCTCTTTGCTCAGTTTACTGAACTCAAAAATTAGGTTCTAAAAACAATCGAATCCACAAAGCTCTCAAACTATTCAAGTCCACCAAATCACTTCGACTCTTTTTTTCTGACCAAGGGCTTTTCTAACAATTTAATTCTATTTTCTTGGGAATATCCAAGAAAATTGGATAAAATTTCCTTGAATTGTAGCGACAAAGTAAAGAAAAAAGAGCAAGGGTAGTTATTGGCCAAAAACTTGTTAACACATTTACGACGAGGCCGTTTTTCACAAAACTGCCGGCTGGTAGGAGAGTCAAGAGAGAGAGACGGGACGTCTGGGATATCCGGGACGTCTGCGCTATGTCATCCAGTCGAAAAGGCACAAAATCTTGCCAGGGAGACATTTTTTTTTAAAATTTAAGACCGGATTTGGATTCCCTGCTATCGATTTGGTATTCTCCCAAATTTTCGGGTCGATCTGATGACTCAAATGATCTGCAATAAATCGAGGAACCCACCATGTGAGTCCCTTCGTCGTGAAAGTGTTATTATCTTGTATATATCAAAAACTTAGTATCTGTTAATACCAAAAACTTGTTAATATCATTTGAAGAACGCAACAAATATGAACCTGTGAGCAGTCGATTTTTGTTTTCTTTAGAAGGTGATCGAGTTGAACTATTCAATGATTGGTCAAAAATAACAACCAATAGCTTTTCTCTTCTCAAACATGTAACTACTTTTAAATCCCTATTCATCAAATTTGAAGCCGGTTTTTCGCCACCAGAGCTCACCCATCAATTCCTTGTTTTGAAATTTCTTTTCCAGACCAAATTCGTTAAAAATCTCCTCACTAGCTCATTTTTTCTATTTCAACGAGTCATGTAAATTATAGATGCTCAAGTAACCGACACTTTAAAATTCAATCGATGAGCTCAAGCTGAAGGTTAACAGATAGAACCAAGTTTCATGAATAAGTTACTCACTGAGAATCTCTATGATTGCAAGGGTTAAAGTATTCGGATTTTACTTGCAAAAGGTTTTGCTTGCAAAGCCTTTCCCAAAGATTGAAGATATTGATCTAGGTGATTTGAACATTAAAGAAATTTCGGAAACAATCACGATCCTTCAAAGATCCAGTTTCAAGCTACATTTCACTACAACACTGGAACAATTTTTACTCAAAGCTGTCGTAAGCAAAGAATCGGTCAAAGAGATTTCTTTTTTTCCGAAAGAAAGAGAATTCTTTTCATTGATGCTTCAAAAACAGTATGCCTTAAATTTGGATAAACTGATAGTTTTCTAGCAAAAACGGGAGTTGTTGCTAAATTTGTATTATGTAGTTGGTTATGTTACAATCTCTATACGAGTCTGTCAATTTGAAAGTCTACAAGTCAGGCCGTAAATCTAATCTGACTTTCAAATATGAATAAGCAAGCGCTAACCGTGATGAATAACCAATCGCCAAATCTTTTTCAAGGTCGTGATCTATTTTTTGAACTTTTCACTTTCACTTTTCGTTCCAGGAACACAATGGATAAATGAGTGGAACGGACAAAGAATTTATCATGTTTTTCAAAGAAAAGATTCTTCCAGGAAACAAAATATAATGATTACGATGATTTCATGAATTGCAATCAATCATAGAATCTAAAAATGAACACATTGTTCATCGTATAAAAGCAAGGACTCTC